GTATATTGTAGGTCAATCAATGTAGTAAATTGTATTTAATGTCAACAGACTGTTGTCTGTGTTCTAAAAATAGTAAAGCATGTTATTATGAAACATCAACCCACTTTTACTACTGTGTTTTTTGTACCATTTCTGTACTGATGAAATTGAGTGCACATTGGTCATTAAAACCAAAATTAGTATTATTCTAAATATTATTTTTAGAAAGGAATATTAACAGCAGTGCAGAATAAAAAGCTAAGGCTCAAAGTGAACAAAAGGGAGAAACAGTGAAGAGTTATGTTTTAAAAGGAATATGTAACTGATTTTTTATATGTATAATTAAGTAAAAGTTTTATAAATGTAATTCACTTATTATAAATTAAGAAAAAACAAAACAAATCAAGCATGTTTTAAGCTCCGTAATCAAGAAAAGGGTACAGTTAGATTATGTTTAATTTTTGTGTACTCACCATTCAAATAAATAAAGAGAGGGATACTCCAATTACTCCAGAGACCAGATTTATTGCCATTCCTACAGCGAACCTGAGCACTGTAATTCACACCAGGTCTCAGGTTATTAAGTAGCACATGGGATGCCATCAAACCTTCTGTATACTGTTTAAGAAAAATAACAGGCATAGTTCTCAGTATTTTCAGAAAGTACTGAAACGTTTTGTGTAGTGAACCAAATGCCTCAAACCAAAGAAAATGTACAGCTAGTTTAAATACAATTTAAGGTATTCAATTACAACACTGGAACATTTGTTATATTTTAACTTTTAGAAGAAAATGACTTTTGGACTACCAACAGACTTTTTGAATTCCCAATTTAATTTCATGTTACAACATGCAGTCTTACTACGGAAAACACTCATACCTACTCTAAAAAGCAGACATTAATATTTCACTCAAAATACACATCAGGGCAAATGAAATTAATTAATTAAAGTTTCTGAAATCATTTAGCATAACTATATGATTTCTTGCAGTTCACCTAAAGACAGCATTGCTTGTGCATTGTGGAAATCTGGATTCTTACCAACCAGCTGTCCTCAGCCGTATCTGCAGAGTATCTGACTTCGTACTTCAGTTTGTGGGGAGCTGGCTGAGGTTCTGTCCAGTTCAACCACAGCTCCCCTTCAAGGGTCATGTGATACTCTAATTTGAGAGGCGGGTCTGGCTTCACTGCAGAATGGATTGTGTAAAATTATTTTTTTTCTCTTAGAGAATAAAATACCACCCGTGATTTTGCAGACATTTTTATCTGACAAATGCTACGAAGGCTATATGATAAACTGTGGGCTAACAGATGTGTCCATACAGTAATTTAAATTAAGACCTCAGTTCTAAATTCCATCCTAAGCACAGAGACGGTTAATTTGCTTGTCCAGTAATTACAGCATGACTTAGAGAGTCTGGGCTTGAATCAGGGAGACCCTGATAAGAAGTCCTTTACCACAAACACTTAGATTAAGCTAATTTAAGAATGTCAGGATTTTTTTTTAATTAGCACAAGATAAACACTAAATAAAACAATAGAAATCAATCACATGAGAAGATGGAAAAATTGTACAAAACTAAATTGACTACAGGCATTCCACACAAGCCTGGGGAAAAGCTGCCCAGTTATGTTGTTGAAGCCAATACACTGTCTTCATTCAGTAAATGGCTGGAAAAGATCCTTTGATCAATAACAGGACCTACTAATAACCAAGTGCTAGGTAGGCCATATGGTCCCTTCTTGTTTATAACTTTGCTATTAAAAAAAAAACTGTGAAGTTACAGAACAATCAGAACCATCCCTGTCATTGCTTTAAAGAGACAGCTACTCGTCTTTTGTAAATAAACTTTAAAACGACTTGTATTGACATTCCAAGGCAAATTTTAAAGCTGTAGAAGAAGGGTAAAGAAAAAGTGGACATATAATTTGAATTCTTGAAATAGTGAATCCAAAGGACAAAGGTATGTAATGTAACTGCCAAAGTCATTGTTGGCTTTTAGAAACTCGAGCGTTGAATTACTTGATCTGCACCAGTGCTTCATATTTCTGAAATCTAAAGTATATCTGGCCAGTTATTTCCATGGTTGGGCTGAAGAACTGCATTGCAGGACTGATTTTATCATTGAAGACTGGAACAAAATGATTTCATACTCATGTTTATGTTTAAACATGCCAATTGCCGTCTTTATCCAGCAAAGTATGAAATGTTAATACCAGAATCAGTAATATCAATGTCTGGATGATTCAACACAAGAAGTCCTGTGAGACTTCATTTCTGGAGTCAAAAGTAATAACTAATGCCGCAGTGCTTCCAAACCAAAACAGAACCGAGTGGTCAGAAAAGTGGTTTTTCAATTATTTCAGAAAACACTCCAAAACAGCTATTCAGACTGATCAACTCATGTAAATAATATTTTGTCTAATGATACATCTATAATGTATTCTGAGTCTCATTGTAAAAGAAGACAAATGAGCTGCTTTGTCAAAGTGACAAATACACAGTAGATCAAGACAGTGTTTTCAATACTTTTTTCCGAACATCTGTGATTCACTGACATTTGAAACTTAAGCAAACATCTGATCGTGTGTGAAGGTACTTCTAATGCATCTAAAATGAGCACATTTAGATATCACTTTCACTCAAGGTTACTTCAACACAGAAAACTGCAGGATATGCTTCCCTATTTACAGTATATACAAAGCCACATTTTAAGTGAGCTAAAATGGATTCCGATCTGCATACTGTATTAAAGTTAGAGACCATGACATGATTTTATTTTAAGAATAAGGAAAGAAAACTGAAACATTCATAAATTATATTTACACAAGAACTCTGCAAATATACGTGTGATGTGTGTTATGAGGTGTGACATGCATTCAATGATGATGTACAGTGTTTTTCTAAGAAAGAAAATATAAATCCCTTTTTTTTTCCAACTAACTCCTACATGTAGTTAGGGTACAAAAACAACACCAAATGTTTTACCATTTTTAATGTGCTCAGTTTGTCTTGTTCCAGTCATGGGTCCTGGATTTGTAAATGTATAATTGACAGTGCAATCCATAGAAAATTAAAGCTTATT